CTTTGTAGAAGAGCCACGGCATCGAAACAGCCCTCCAACTTGCACCCAGTCCAGCCACAAGTCTCATCCTCCTAGCTTCATCAGTGGGTGCATTTCTAAAGATGTCGTTTGTTACTGCTTCTCATTACCGCATGTCTGATGGGATCCGCAAACCGTGGCTGGGATTTCTTCCTATGGCTCGGGATTTCCGGGGTACAAAAACCACTCTCTCTTTCTCTGTCTCTCTCTCCCTGTGTGAGTTGTTTGTTGCCTTCTATCTTGCCTTATCTCTGAGGCCCAGAACAAACAGTGGTGTGTGCAGTCGTAGAAACTGGAATGGCTCTTTCTGCTGTGCCAGCCGTGTTCTGTTAGGGACAAAGGCCACCCCTGGCTCCGTGACCTTTCCTCTGGATACCGGGCAGTCTCACTTCCCCTCCAGTGCTGGGCCACGCTTCTCAAGGCTGATCTCAACGTGACTGATGGAAGGGTGTGGTGAGGAGAGTCCAGCCTTGAGTCCTGGGAGACGGCAGGCTAGATTCCAGGGTCACACGTAAGGCCTGGCGCTCTTCTTGCAATCGGGGACCCTGCTCCACCTCAACCCCCACCCCCAACAGCACCGTGGTGCTGGAGGACATCTGCGAGTTTTCTATCTTTGTCCCTTGGTTCATGGGGGGTGGAGGGGCTGCCCCTCAGAACATCCTGCATGGCTACCTCGGAGCTAATGCGGCCTTTTGTGTCTGTGCAAAACTCTGCTCTCCAGTGATATATGGTCCATATATTCATGTTAGTGTAAGCTGAGGGCAGAGACAGGAGGTGGGACAGCAGAAAGGCTGGCATTGACAGCGCCAAGAGGGCTTCCGTACCTAGAGACACTGTACATATCTCTATGCCAATCAGGAGCTCCCGCTTGTCCACACAGAGCTATCAGCAGGGCTATTTTTGGGCAGGAACGCACAGGAACAGAGTTCCGGCTGGCTCCCAAGTTGGCCACGCCCCAGGAACTCATTAGCATAATAGGCCACACCCAACATCAGAAACTCATTAGGATTGGCTACATTAGGGGTGTGTGGCCTAACATGCAAAGGAGTTCCTGCTCCAAAAAAAAAAGCCCTGGGTTTTGTCAACAAACAAGGTAAAGAGAATAAGAAGCAAAAGGTGGGTGTGGCTGGGTGACCACACTTCTGGTAACACGGGGGTGTGCCTAATATGCAAATGAGCTGTGCTGTCGGGGGTGTGGCCTAATATGCTGATTAGTTCCTGCTGTTGGGTATGGCCTATTATGCTAATGAGTTCCTGCTGTGCTTTTTCTACAAAAAAAGCCCTGGCTATCAGGATCCTACAGAATGGGCAAAGCCTGTATGCAGATGGCAGACTTTGTTAAAGGCACAAAAATGTCCAGCTTGGACAAAAGCTTGCTTATCCATCTATTAAAGTTTTGAAAAGTTAAAAATAAACTAGCATGCTGTGGGAGGAATAAGAACAGGGCTAAGACACATTGGCACTCAAGGAACACAGTCTGAAGGGCTCCCTTCCCATGGGCCTCCTGGGGGAAACTCTATAGTGAGCCATTGGCGGCCCTTGAGTGGAGCCCCAGATCTGCTGCTTCATTCTGCCCTGCCAGGTGTGTGTTGGACATGTGCATTTTTTGGGGGGGACATCAGCAGTCAAACCCTCCCAGCTCTTCAAGCATCCACAGAGTCTGTAAAACGTGGGAGGAAATAAAGATTTCATCTTGATGGGTTGTGGATAATTGGCCCCTTCCTGTACTTGGCAACAATGCTCCCTCTAAGCTTTGGAGCCTTGTGAGCAAAACTTCTACTTTGTGAGCTACCGGCTTTAAAGCTGTGAGTGGTTGATTTGGCTGCCGCATAAATTAGTTTCCTCTGGAGCCGTCCTCCCTGAGCTAAGACAAAAATGTGTGAGCTGGAGGCAAAAAACTGTGAGCTAGCTCACACTAACTCAGCTTAGAGGGAACACTGCTTGGCAAGCATGGGATGGGGCCTGAAGCAGCAGCCATGGTCTTCCCATGTCTTCCCAGCATGAAAGGTGTAGTCCGACCCTGGAGGGCTGAAGCTAGAGCAACCAGGCACACTGTAGCTGAAATAACACCACGTCTGATGGATTAAAGGGCAGCACGGACTGCATGGCTAGAATCTGAGCTAGCCAAAGCTGGCACAGCCTTCCACTTGACCGTGGATGTAATTCTTCTACAATGCAGTCCTAAGCAGCATTACACCTGTCTAATGGGCTTGGAAGAGTGTAACTTGGCAGGATTGCACTGTTAGAGTGAGGAACTAAAATAATTTCCTTGGTTATCTGAACAGCACTAAGTGTGCTGGGTTTTTAATTAGTCCCATTCCTTTTTAGTTATTCCCGTTTTACAGATGAGAACCTGAGAAGGCTCCAGTCCTAGGTGAAGTTTATTTATTTCAGCAATTTACTCCCTTTTCTCCCCCAATGGAGATCCAAAGCTGATCTATCTATCTATCTATCTAATTCTCAACAGTCGCCCCTGTGTGTGGATACTTATTTCTACAGATTGGGGGTACACTCTCTCCCAACAGATTTTTCTACAGACTCAGGGGACTTCATGGGCCTACAGAAAAATCCAAAAAGTTTTTAAAAAGCCCTCACGGAGGGAATCCACCCCTATACCTTTTGAAATGGCTGCCACAGGGATCTACTCTAGGCCCCACCACATCCACAGTGAGAGATAGATGGAGATAGCCAGAGAGAGAGACAGACAGGGGAGGAAGCAAAAAGTAGGACTGTATCTAGGATTGGGAAGGATTCCTCCTGCAGTATGAACAGTAGGGAGTTTTGAGCCAGTTCTGGGATGAGGATTGCCTGCTCCAGGTTGGGGAATTCCTGGAGATTCTGTGGTGAAGTCTGAGGAGTGCAAAGTTTGGGGAGGGAAGAGGCCTCAGCTAATGCCAGTATGCTATATGTTCTTAGCAGATAGTTCCTTTCACACCCAATTGATTCACACTAGAGGGCATGGATTGGGCGGGAGAATAAAGGAGGGGGAGCCGTGTGATCCCATATTAGTTAGGAATGGCCCATTTGGGGTGTGGGGGGGCAACCCTGGCAATTGAACTTCCAGTTTGTGTTTGCAATGAGAAGTGTGTGTGTTTTTGTGTGTGGGAGTTTGGGATGGATGACTGGTGCCAGCCACCTGAGCTAAAGCTAGGATGGAAGACTGGCATTGCAAGTTTAAAAGGACTACTCTCAAAGCACAGAGTCAGAAATCCAAGCAAGGGGGGGGGTTTTGCAAGCTCTGTGCAAGAAAATGGGAAGTGAACAGGAAGGAACACCAGCAGGGGGGGAATCCCTCTTGAAACTGACATGACTAGTTTGAAACTGACAAGAGTGTTTCCAAGGCTAGAGAATTCCACCCCCTCTGTTTCTCTGAAGTTTGGTAAACGTTTTGTTTGCACTGAGACAGTCTGTCTGGAAATGTACCCATTCATGAACTGAAAACAAACAAGCACTGTATAAATAACGCAGACCATGGAGTGCACAAAGGTCATGCAAAGGAAATTTATATTATAACAAAAGCAAAAATAGCAAAAATAACAAGGGACCACATATATCAGTAAACCAAGATTACATCATAAAATGTGCAAGTCAATAAATAGTATACATAAGTTCATAAGTAGTTGACGAAGACTCCGGATTTTGATCTTCGTTTCGAGGGTTCTTCTTCAAAGAGTTAACTACTTCATCAAGTGCTGATAATGTACAGAAGACTTCTATCATGTATATGTAGGAAAAATCCTTCACATAGCACTCATAAAGCACAGAAGCCTTCAGACTAGTAATACAGGAAAAATCCAGTCCTAATACTCATATAAAGCTGGGCATCTGATTAATAGTCGAACATGTTCTCAAATAGTAAGCCTCGAAACGAAGATCAAAATCCGGAGTTTTTGTCAACTACTTATCACTTATGTATACTATTTATGGACTTGAACATTTTATGATGCAATCTTGCTTTACTGATATATGTGGTCCCTTGTTATTTTTGTTATTTTTGCTTTTGTTATAATATAAATTTTCTTTGCATGACCTTTGTGCACTCCATGGTCTGCATTATTTATACAGTGCTTGTTTGTTTTCTTTTCCCATTCATGAACTGACATGAACCTCCATGAACAGCTTGAAAGTTCGTGGAATGTTCATGCCGGTTGACCTGCCACGAACTTCAGTCTGTGAACCACAAACCCACCAAAATTCATCATGAACTTTAGTTTGTGAGCCAGTTTGTACTGATCCCTACTCTATGGCATCATACCCCACTGAAGTCCCTCCCCTCCCCAAACCAGGCCCTCTTCAGGCTCCATCTCCAGGTATTCCCCAACCCGGAGCTGGCAGCCCCACTATGACCTCATACTGCAGGTGGGGAATGGGTTGGGGTTTTTTACATTCCACTACTTTAAAAAACAAACAAAACCAAAACCCTTTTCTCCCTAGCATGCAGTTCTCTGCTTCCTGCGATTTTTTTAAAAATATGGGGAAAGCATTAAAACAGGTATCCTGCATCCCTGAACAATCCATTCCACTGACCCAGGATTTTACTGTTGTTGCTTGACCATGTGTGGATCAGTCCTGGGCCTACGCATGCAGTGGAATGAGGTGGCAGAGTTTTGAGGATCACATTTTGAAATGCTCTCATCTGTGGAAACCCTTCCTGCAAGTAGATAACACAACTGGGAGCAGAGGAGGCTAGAAATGTGCTTCCTGGTGAGGTCACTTTCCCCCCCTGCGGTGTGTGCGTGTGTGGGGGGTGTTTTTACATGTGAAAGCATTCAAGATAGCACCTCCCTCACGTTGCAGTCTGAAGTGGTACCATTTGTTCAGTCTCTTCAGAATTCTGCTAGACGTATAGGCCCAGCCTTTCGTTGTTCAGTTGGCAAACGACTGGCTTTGGTGGGATTTAGTCTAAGGTCTCAACTCCCAGGCCCAGCTCTCCTCACTGCAAGGCACCGTGGTGCTGACCTCTTCCTGTTCCATCCCCACAGCGCTGCAAGGATCGTCTCAACTCGTTGGCCATCTCAGTGATGAACCAGTGGCCAGGAGTAAAGCTGCGTGTGACTGAGGGCTGGGACGAGGACGGCCACCACTCTGAGGAGTCGCTGCACTACGAGGGCCGTGCCGTTGACATCACCACATCAGACCGTGACCGCAACAAGTACGGCATGCTGGCTCGCTTGGCGGTAGAGGCCGGCTTCGACTGGGTCTACTATGAGTCCAAAGCCCACATCCACTGCTCTGTTAAATCTGGTAAGGGGAGCCAGGATTGGGGGGGGGTCAGCAGGACTAGAGGTGGGGGTTGTGAGGCCTAAGAGTCTTTGGCACAGGATGAAAGGCTTGGTGGAGTAATGCAAAAGTGAGGGAGGTGCTGTGAAAAGTGAAAGTCACTAGCATGCCATACTAGTGTCATTTGTGTGGCAGTGTGTGACACAGGGCGATTTCTCACTAGAGCTGCCTCGCACACAGCCGCCGTTTGCCCTGACACAAACATGTCAATTTCACACCCGAAGCTCCGGGGCTGCATTTTGACTCGGGGCTTTGCCCGATTTCCTCCGCAGTTTCGTGATCCTGGTTTTTGAGGATCATGAAACTGCGGAGGAAATCGGGCGAAGCCGCGGGTCAAATGCAGCCCCGCAGCCCCGGGTATGAAATTGACATGTTTGTGTTGGGGCAAACGGCGCTGCGCTGCGTGGCAGCTCTAGTGATAAATCGCCCACAGTGTCACAGTGTGTGACTTGCAGGGATTCTGCCCTAGTGGCTGATATGAGGTGGCTTAAGAAATTAAGCATCCTTGGCCTTTAAGAGCAGCTCAGTCCCCCCATTTATTCCAGAGCAAGTACTTTGCCCAGCTCCTACACATGAGGATCTAAGTCCTGGTTCACGCATGGAGATTACACCACTTAAGTGCAGCTGGTGAGTTTCAACTTTGAATGTTCCTTCCCATTAAAAACTCTCTGCAAACAGAAACCTACTGCAGCAGGGAAGAAGCTTCTGTGCTCTTTGCTTGCTCTGGGAATTCTGCAGACAGGTTTTAACATGGGGAGTGTTCTAAAAAGTGAGCCTCCACCTGCTGTCTCAAGTGGTACAATCCATTCTGCCGTGTGTGTGTGTGTGTGTGTGTGTCTGTCTGTCTGTCTGTCTGTCTGCCTGCCTGCCACCTCATTGCCTGGCTCTCTGACCATGTTTGGTATAACAGGGCTAGAACATGCTTTAAGATCTCAAACCTCCACAAACTGGTGCTCTCTCTCTCTCTCTCTCTCTCTCTCTCTCTCTCTCTCTCTCTGTGCCCTTCCCCTCCCCTGCACTTGAGTTAAGCTCTGTCCATTAGAGGGCAGGACTGAGTTTGGGTCAGCTGCAGGAATAGTGAGGAGAGCGGGAAGCTGAGTTGTGTATTGGGGATTAGGTGCTGCGGGGCTCCCCCTGTTGGCCAGAATACCACGCTTTGACTGTGGCCTCTTGTTCCTGTCCTTTGATCATTAGCATGACCCGCTGGTATCCTGGCCCTTTCCAGACCTACAGGGTCTCTGGCTGATGGGGAGGAGGTGCCTTTGCCCAGCTTTGACCTTACAGTGCCTGTATCAGCAGCCGGATCTCCATCTGTCTGAGTGCGACACATCAGGAGTGAGCTGCGCTGGAGAAAGAGACTGGCTCAGCCAGAGAGAATCACAGTCCCCCCACCCCACCCCTTTGGCACTGTGGCTTTTGTGCTTCCTTGAACTCCCCTGGATAGAGCTGTGCCGGCCAAGTAGAAAAGAGACATTGTCTAGCAGCTTCCGGGCCTTGGATTTTGGGTAACCAAAACCTTGATCTCTGCAAAGCTGCATCTGGCCGATATGTGGCAGATGTATCAAGGACTGAAGGTTTACATTGGGTGTGTGACGTGTCCCCTCAAAAACGGGGCATATTGGACTGCCAAGTGATGTCTCCAGAATACGTATTTAACATATCTGCTCTAAGCTAATTATAGGAAATGACTTTCACTGGTCAGGATGCTGTGTCCACTCTTAGATGCCTGCTTTTATAAAAGGGTATTGCAACCAGGGGTCATTTCATAGAAAAAGAGGGGCAGGAGCTCAGTAGCCTAACTCATTAGCATAACTTATTTGTATAGGCCACTCCCCCTGACATCACCGGAAGGGTGTCAGAAGGCAACACCCACCACTCAGGCTCAACTGGAAAGTTTTGCATTGCTAGCTGCTGGGGGGGGGATGTGCAGATCTGTCCTTGCAGAGGAGGGAGAGCTTGTACCTGAATAAAACCTGGTCTTAAAGGTGCCACTGGACTATTTTGGACCGGGGGGTGCTCTGCAACTTACCTGGCTGCTTCTTGCTCTGACTGAGGGTTGCTGGGAGCAGGGGGTGGGGCTTGTTGCATGTGCCCGCCCCCTGAACTCTTTACTGCCGGAGCTCTGCTCCTGTGCACTCCTGCAGGAAATGACTCCTGATTGCAACATCACAAAAGGCCTGGAGAAAGATGCCAGAAGTTGGAGAACTGGCGTGGTAGTAAATGACTGAAGGTGTACAAATTTGCGAGGAGGGCACTGGATACAGACTGCTATGATGGAAGTAGTGAAAAAGAGGGAAGGGAGAGCCAGCATCTTGGAAGGCCATGCCAAGAACACCCTTGTGAGCAACCCACCCGCAGGGTTTGACAGGGACAGTAGCTGGGGGCTGGAAGCTCTGGGAGGAAGGGGTCCTCCAGCATTCCAGGTGGGTGGATAGGATAGAGCGGCTGTCCCATGAGAGATGCTGGGCACAGAAGGAATGCCTTGGCCTGCATTGGTTGGGGAGAAGAGTATACTCTGAAGGATGACTCTTATGTGGATGGGACTGCTGTGTATCCGGGGCAGCTGGCTAAGTGCTTTATTAAATGGCCTTTATTTTTGTACCAAGCATGTGTGGCCTTTTCTGTTTGTTGCTCCCCATCTCTTCTTCCTCTTGGTTTCTGCAAGTTTCCCCCCTCGTTTTTTTAATATATATTTTTATTGAGTATATGATTCATATTTCATAAAAATGATTCATATCATTATACATTATACTCCTTTTCATTCATTACACAAGAAAAAACACAAAAATGAGGTTACATTCCAAACTACATAATTAACAAATTAAACTTAATCCCAATCCAGTTTGTAACCTCTTCTTTTCCTATTCCCTTATCCTACCCACATGTAAAACCACCATACAACTCCCTCTAAATCACGATTTATCTCTTAATACATCTTTTGAATCTTCCAATAGATTATTACTCATTCTTCTGACTTCTTTTCTGTTCATTCAGTCTTTATTGTTATTCTATCTACTTCTATACCTAAAAAAGAAAGCTGGATGGGGTTGCCTCTCTGATACTAAACTTATATCCCACCCTATCCAGGGCTCAGGGCAGCTCACAACATATAAAATGTACAATAAAACAGGAATAAACATATAATTAAAACCAAATTTAAAGCAATTAGAACAGGATGACAAATAAGACAAAAACAACAACTCCAGGGCAGCCCATAGTGGTATGGTCGTCAAGTAATAAATTACTGTGTGAAGGAGTTGAACTATATTTCAAAACTTTTTAAAAGTTGAACTTGCTCTTTCCCAAACCCTGAGGGTCAAGGCACAATATTTATGCTTAATGGATTAACCCTTTTCCCATTCCATCCGATACTAGATTGACTTTTACCAGGGAACCCTGTTGCTGAGGAAACAGTTCTTCTGGAAATGCTCAAGGTGGGCAGGCACCAACTTGCCTTGTAACTTACCAGGAAAGTTTTCAGTGGACCACTGGTGGCTAGAAGCAAATTGAACCAAGTGGGCTCTGCAGTTCTGGCAGCATCAAAATAGCTTCTTGGCACAAACCTGAAATGCAATAGTAATAGCCATAAATGTAAGCCAGCCCATTAGGGGAGCCTGTGCTCTTTGTCATGGTCTGGGGTGCATGGCCTCTGGAGTGTGGCCAACTCAGCTTGCTCTAGGGCTGTGTTAATAACCCAGTCTACCCCTGCACACGAGGCATAACCCAATTTGGGTTTCACTTGGTCTACATAGCAAAAGGAAAGCCCTAGACTCTTTGGAATGCAATCTGATCCTATGGACTATTTATTGCACATTAACAGCATTCAAAATTGCACGAGCTATTGCACATCAGCAACATCCCGACATGGCACAACTGATAGCACATCAGCAACATCCCGACATGGCACAACTGATAGCTTGCATTTCTCTAACGTCCCATGTGTGGAGACTGCTTTGGCAGGTATCAGTCAAGAGAGGATAGCATTTTTATGCCTCCCTTTGGTGCCTTCAGTTGTTTGGGATGGGCTCCTGGAAGTATAGTCAAGGGGTTCTGTTAATCAGCCTGCCTCTCATGTAGCAAGAACAAACCCTGAAGATACAGAGACATTATTCTAAAATGGCTATACTTGCACCTAGGGATCCTCTTTGTCTGGAGCTGCACAAGTAGTCAAAAAGTTTCACGTAGCTTAGCTCAGTGATTCAAACAGTGAGATTTTTATTCCTGTGGGGCTGAGGCTGAGGGAGTGTGGCTAGCCCAAACTTGATCGATACACTGTAGACCAAAAGTGGTCAAGGGAGAAAACCATCCAAGACCTTCTAAGCAAAAAGAAAATACTAAATACCCACATTTTAACTAAAGATCTGTCTGAAGAGAGCAGACGTCTACCAATATAGCATTCAACCCTTAAGTAAAGCCATACTATTACAAATTTACAGGGTAGTTTTCATTGTGTCTGTTAAACAAAGCACATTCTGTCACCCATCTTTGAGACGAGGTATAACTGTGTTTCAGACAGACTAGTTTTAACAGTCTGACCCACTAGGAACTATAGTTCTCTCTCTCTCTGTCTCTCTCTGTCTCTCTCTGTCTCTCTCTGTCTGTCTGTCTGTCTGTCTCTGTCTCTCTCTCTGGAAGGGGGGTAGATTAGAACCCTTACCAAACTACAATTGCCCCAATTCTCTGGAAAAGTTAGAGCAATTTGCTAAACACCTGGACATGCAGGACCCTAATGTTCTGGTCATTCCAACTTAATGCAGGGTGTGAATTTGGGTATGTGGCATCAGAGTTGAATTAACGATCTCTGTGAGCTGAACCTTTCTTTGGAAGAAGGTACATTTTGGCTCCAGCTGACATTATTATTGGTTCTACCCCAAGTGCCGCTTGCCATGAAGTAAAATCTCAGTTCTTTCTAGAAGCAATATTTGTGTTGTTGGTATGTGTG